CATGCCTTGTTCAAATCTGTGTAGTCAACACACATCTGCCAGGTCCCATCCGGCTTTTTAACAAGAACAACATCTGCAACCCAATCCGGGAAGTGATATTGTCGGACGACCAAATTGTCGATCTTTGGAAGTGGATAACTATCCTTCAGGCATGCCTTGTTCAAATCTGTGTAGTCAACACACATCCGCCAGGTCCCATCCGGCTTTTTAACAAGAACAACATCTGCAACCCAATCCGGGAAGTGATATTGCCGGATGAACCCAGCCTCCAAGAGCTTCTTTACCTCAGCGGCTGCCGCCTGGCTTCTTTCCTCACCGTGGTTCCTTTTCTTTGTCTAACCGGCTTCTTTTTAGGATCCACAGCGAGTTTATGCACAGCTAGATCCGTGCTGACGCCTGACATCTCCTCAACTTCAAAGTCAAAAATGTCTTTGAATTCCTTTAGAAGAGTGTGCAATTTTTCACCCAACTTAGCAAAAGCAGCCGTCCCCACCTTAATAGTTCAATCTGGATAGGTGTCATCCTGAACGATGTCAATGTGATCTCCAGCCAGCTGGGGACGTAGCTCGTCTGACCTTTCCCCGATCAGTAATTGCTATTGCTTCTCTTTCTTGACGGTTGCCAATTGGTCCGCCTTTCTCTTTTTACCAGCTGCTCTCGGAGCAGGCGCAGCTTCTTTGACCTCATCAAGGTCTATAGGCTCCTCATCTTGATCGGTTGTAGCCACAGTCGGTTTGACGTCTGAGAGATAGCATTCTCTCGCTGTCTTCCGATCTCCGTTCAAGAAGCCTATAGACCCATCATCTCTTTTAAATTTTAGAAGCATAAAGGAGGGAATGATGACCGCTTTAGACTCATTCAGCGTTGGTCTGCCTAGTATCAGGTTATAGGCAGTCAACTCCTCAACAACAAGGAACTGGACCACCATGTGGCGTCTTGCCTCCTTCTCTCCCAATCAGATGGGTAGGTCAATTCTTCCCACCGGATGCACGACCCCCCCCCCCCCCAAATCCGACCAAGGGGTGAGAAACTTGGGTCATGCTACTGGGCTTGTACTTGAGCTTAGCCAAGCACTTGTGACTAATCAGGTTAGATGAACTACTCCCAGTGTCGATTACAATCCGACCAACCTTTTGATTGGCCATCTTGCACTCGATCACTATGGGGTCATCATGTGGCCGCCTGACCTTGCCCCTGTCCTTCTCAATGATGAGGACATCAGGGAATGTGTCTTTCGACGCCTGGCCCTCATCCACTGCGCTGAAATCCAGCCTTCGGACGTAGTCCTTGGTGCCCTGGATGGTAGGACCCCCACCGGCAAAGCCGCCTGCTATAGTATAAATCGTTTCATCATCGGTGTCCGAACTATTAGCATATTGGGGTGCCTTCTTGGACGGTTGTCCATTGTTTGTTTTGAGGGTCACCTTAGACTTCAGGATATAGGACTTTAATACTCCCTTATCAGCCAGACGGTCCAATAACCGTTTGAGGCTGTAACAATCATTGGTGTCATGGCCTATGTCCTCATGGAAGTGACAATATTTGTTCTTGTTCCGAATTCTGACAGAACCCTTTATTGCAGCCGGTTTATCGATAGTTACCCGGTCTTTGATCTCCATGAGGATGGAGTAACTGTCCTTGTTGAAATCGTACTTGGGGGCGTACGGTTTCAACTCTTTCTTCCTCTTCTGGGATGGCTAACCAGAATTGTCTGCCACCCAGGCTTCTTTTCTTTTCTTGCTCTCTTCCTTTTTAGTCGGCTGAGCAGACCGGCTCTCTTTTTTGTCGGAATTTTTGGAGTCCGGCGGCTGCTTGATGGCGCACAACTCAGTATCCTATATGTAGGCTTCTGCTTCCATCAAAGCATCTTGGAGGGTAGCGACCCTTTTTCGGACGAGATCAAACTTGAAGGTTGATCCATCTTTCAGACCCTTAAAGAAGTCTGTGTAAGCCTTTTCGTCAAAAAATCCTTGAATTTGGATTCTCATCAGATTGAACCGCCTGATGTAGGACCTAAGCCCTTCTCTATCTCCCTACTGTATGGCACTCAAGTCCAGACTTGTTTTCTTCGCATGGATATTCATAGAGAAGTTTGAGGCGAACAAGTACGCAAGCGTCTTGAAGCCGTTTATGCACCCGGCTGGCAAATTGTCAAACCATCGTTGGACAATGCCCTTCAATGTAGCCGGGAAGCATCTACACCAGGTGGCATCATCCAACCCCTGTAAGTACATGAGGTTGGTGTATGCCATCAGGTGGACTTCTAGGTTGCTGGTACCGTCATAGGTACCCACCAACACATTCCTAACCTTGGCAGGCTGGGCTGCTTTGGTTATCTCCTTGGAGAACATAAAAGGTTGTTCCCTAAGGTTTAGCAGCCGGAGCTGCCAGTCCATTTGCTGGACATTCTATGCCGCCTGACCTCCAAAGAAGGTTGGCTGCATGTATGGTGATCCATACGACATGTATGGCTGTTGGGGCACATACGGAGCCGGTTGGATAATCTGAGGGCCAATACGTGCGGACAGGCCGGGTGATTGACTCTCTCGGTTTGTTTCTGAACACCTCATTGAGGTATTCAAGAAACTATTTGGGTAGGTCGACGTTGAAGCCGACTCAGACAGTTGTTGACTTCTCTTCTGCTAGATTAACATCCGGTCATCCGAGAATGTCTTCCTTGAACCATCCGGCTGAACATGTCGGATGGCCTTCCTCTTCCCTGATTCTGGGAATCGGATCTTAGTTAGGTCGCCCAAGGGCCAGTTCCCATCCTTTGGCTTGGGATGAGGAGTAGGGACACGGTCCTAAACTGGATTTTTCTTCCCCATGGGAGAAGGCTTTTTAGCTAACTGACCCCTATTGGAGCCACCAGTCTTTTTGTTTAAGAGGTCCTTGATCTCCCCTTTGAAACTCGTAATGAATTTCATAAGCTCGTCTCTGGTGACGGGAGTGGCACCCTCCGTCGCCTGGGGTTGTCCAGCCGGTATACCGGCTGGATTGCTTGGACCAGCTTTGTTTTCGCCCCGTTCCCTTGTTTCCTTAAAACGGGTGCGTCTTGTTCTGAATGACTTGTCTAGGGCCACATAGGTGTCGACCTCAAGGTCATCACTACTATTTGGGTTCGTGTGGACCTCAGCTTCGACCGTAGGCCGTTTGCCTTCAGTAGGCGATACAGACTCTTTGGATGCCATCTTATAAGTACTCTTCCCCACAGATGGCGCTAAATGTTTTGGGGTTTTTTGTGTCCTTCGGGAGAGCTACAACACCAAGATTGGAATCCAAACGCCTGTACCTGCAAAACAACAGAGACTCCGGTTAGGGGAGTTCCGCCTCCAATGATCAAGTTAGAACCGGAGTGGAGTCTGTAATAAATGCGGAAGTTAAGAATCTTCTCAAAGTATGTGATCGGGAGTAAATGATCTGCAATCAATATGCTCGGTTAGTTGGTATTGAATGTGAATGTTTTCCAATTGGGAAACATCTCCTTATTTATAGGGTCTTGAAGTATGTGCCACGTGTCCAGAAGGGATTGGTTCTTATGAACCACTCTGAAGGTGACACGTGTCACACGCTAATTGGTCCACGTGGCATAGGGTATTTTTACCCCAAACAATTCCCACCATAAATTTCTTAGTTTCCTCCCTCTAATGCCTAATCAGTTCGACATTTTTTATAAAAAAAAATTACTATAATCAAAATACAAGCAATGACCCGGGACATCGTCCGAGTCATAAACTAATTATTTGTTAAAAAGCAAGTATGACACTTAAAAATTAACTACATTAAGAAAGAGAAAATACTAGTTTATGACAAAATCTTTTTATTAAAAATGGGTCCCACAAATGTTGATATAATTACATAATGCCATGATGACAAGGCAAATTTGTTAATTTATTTACAATTTTGCCATTTGATAAGTTTTGTTTATCATCTATACTTATTATTATTTAAAAACTCAAACCGGATGTATCACATCTTCTTACATTTGCTCTTTTCTAAACCAATGTGCCACAAGTTTTCTTACATTTTTACGCAGTAATCTTTAGAAAACCCACAATAATCCAAACCAATTGTACTTCATCTTCATCTCCCACTCTTCAATTCAACTTTTCTTTCACTCTCTTTAATTTTAGTCCCTTCACCTTCTTTTTTTGTAAGCATCATTTTGAATTAAATTCCCAAAAAATTAATTTATTTAATCAGGTCTTCGGTTACACATTACACTTATAACAACCAATAATCACCCTTGTGTCCATGCTATAATTGAATATTACATTCAACAAAGTATCTTACCCTATTTATCCTTTCCAAATACACATATGACATAACACTCAATATTCAAAATCACAAAAATAAAATAAAATAATAATAATCTTGTACGTTGTACGGGTCAAAAGCCTAATTGTGATTAATTGAGACTTCCTTATTAAGAAATGATCACTTAAAAAACGAAAGGAATAAGATTATACAGTAAAAACCTAGCCTTCTTTCTCTCTATTCTCCCTCCTAAACTTTAACATCCATTGTAAATTTTGAAGGAGCTTCCATCGGATTTCACAGATGGAAAGCCTCAATCGTTGTTTCTTGTAAGTTTTTATTCTTAGCTTATAATAATATCTCCCTTGAAATAAAGGGTTTATCTCTTTCGAAAGATAAGGGTTTATCTCATTTGATAGAGTCTCCAGTTTTACGGGGCTACAATTGACTATTGCTCAGATTCGGGTTCCAAAATCATCTCAAGAAATTTCTTCCTCACAAAATATTGAAGCATCGACAGATGCAATCAAAAAGTTTTATGAGACAACGAATCGATAATATGCCGAATTGTTATATCTATGTATTTGGATTCTCAGCACTTCTCCGATCAATTCTTGTTTGATTTTGTTAAATTTATTTTCATTATCGTTATTTATCAATTATAAATGTCATATGACTTTAATTAATGAAATTTAGTATCCTTTTAGACCTTATAAAAAAAAAAAAAAACAAAAGAAATAAATTATCAAACTGAAAAAAAGACCAAATAAGTTTTAAATCAATAAAAATATTATCTTATTAAGTTATCAAAAAAGATGCTGTCGAACATGCCCTAAAACTATCTCAGTACTACTCTATTCAAATAGAGCCAAAACTCACCTCAATTTACCGTCTTCTCCGCATCCAAAATTCACAAATCCATGGCGGGCTTTAAAAAGTTGGAGGGAACTTGAAAATAAAAAAAGAGCGGCAAAACTCATTAAAACCTCAAAATCGCTCTTTTCTTCCCTCCTCTTCTCTTTCTCTCTCCTCCGCTCATCTCTCTAATGGCGGCGTCTTCGAGTCGTCTTCGTCTTCTTCCCTATCGACCTGAACACGAGCAGGTAAGTCGATTTTCGATTTCCGAAGTTTCGATTTTCGTTTTAGATTGATAACTCCATTAATTTGTAATCGCACTTTTAGCTAATTGAAGTTGTTTGATTTTTGTTGATGATATTACAGTTTGATGCTTGGATTATTTTTGTTTTGTTTTTTTTTTTGGTTAATTTTGGAGGTTTATATTGAATCTGAAGCAATTAAATTGATCTGTTTAACTTGATTTTCGAATTTTCTAGAAATATTATTGGAAAGACGGTGAAGTTTTTGAAGGTTCATCTCGAATCTAATGCAACTAATTGATTTGGTCGATTTGATTTTCGGACTTTCAGATTGTTTTATTTGTTTGTTTGTTTTTTTTTTTTTTTTTTTTGATTTATTTTTATATAAAATCTTAGGTTTATTAATTTCAATGTGTGGGAAAGACGGCGATTAAATCTGTTTGTTTCATATTTTAATTATAGGGTCGAATTGAATCTCAAACATTCTATGTTTGTGCTTAAGCTTGCTATATAATTTCTCAAAAATACGGCAACTAAATCTGTTAGAAGTTAATCCTTGTTGAAGCTTCAATTATATTCCGAAGCGGTTAAATAATCTCTTCAACTTGAATTTGAAGCTTTCTAGGGTTTTTAAGCCAGCGGCGGTAACTGAAGTCACTGAACCAGTTGAGCAAAATGGAGGAACTCCAAAAAAAAGATTAAAATAGTTTTAATTAATTTATTTATATATATATATTTTTTTACGAAGGTGGTGTAGATGGTGGGTTGCAATTTGCTAGGGAAGTTTATAAGCGGTTACACATACTAACATAAATGCAAATGAGTAATTGACACTATTCAATGCTAAGCCTAAACTCTAAATCTGCCTTGGAAAGTATCAAGGCTGTACTGGTGTTTTTAGTAAGACTAAGCTATTTGTTTGTTTGATTCTATGCTCTTTTTGTGACTTGTGTGTTGCTACAAATCTTTAGAATTTCAATTTGTGTTCGCGAAGACCCCATGGTTCCTGTGTAGCAACTCGATCATACATGATTGAAACTCAGGGTATGTTATGTTGCGTTGTTTGGTAGCGAGAATTTACCGAGCCACCCTTTCATTTTCTTGTAGGTTCGAGGCTTGTCAAATGATGAATCTTCCCGGAATGTGTGGCAAATTTTGATCCAATTTAGATGCCAGTCAAAGGTAGAATGCCTTTTGTTTATTTACTTTCTCAATAATACATCTAATGGAAACATGAAACCCATATAATTATTATTGAGCCTTTGAGTATGGTTCTAAGTATCTAAAGTTGAAATAAAAGCATTGACTTTTTGCAACAACCATCTTACACAGATTGTTACACTTGGTGTACCTAGAATAAGGCTTATCTTGGTTTATAAATCAGGCTTTGATGTTTTTAGCCTTGTAAGTAAAGAAGTATTGTTGGGCAGATGTTTCTTTTGTCAATGTAAAACCTGTTATGTTCTTGTCCAAGTGTGTAACATGACTATATTGTGAATATTTCTCGTGTCATCTGTCCAAAATGAAGAGTCCAATTAATTTGATTTCAATTGTGATGTATGAAATACTGAAATATGCTTCCTACCGTTGTTCATTGCTTATTTATTACCATTGTTCATTGCTGATTTATTACCATTATTAGTTGGTTTTTAACTAAGATTTTCAGCAAAAAGCCAATTTGAAACTTTAACCTCAAAGGCTATACCAGGGCATACAAGTTAGTTTGTATGCATCTGTGTATCTCTGCATTTTGATGTACTGTGATTTTGTTGGATGCGCTGAAGTTTTTAACTGTGCTAGATGATATTAACTCCAAGTCCTGCCTGTTGCAGCTTGTCAGATATTCATCCTTTCAGAAGAGATAGGGAAAGCACTTCAACTTAACATACAAACTTCGGGATTTGCTGGTAAGATTCTCTCTCACTCAGATTTTTAACATTTGTGTTTCACCTAGTGTACACATTATAAACCATAGCCCATGAAAATGATTTGTTTCTTCAAGAGCTTTGTTGCTTTCATCTGCTATCTATAACTGATGCACAATTTGACATAATTTATCTGGGTAAAATTTTACCAACTTGCTTTTCTATACACTTTTTAACTATGTCTTGACAAGACTGCATAACATTGTCGGATGCTGAAATTTCACTGAGAACATCTTTCTTATCTCAATGGGTCTGTCATGAAGTACTGTATTCACATATGTTGATCTCAATTCTGTGCTATATTCTCCTGCTGCAGAAAACTTGCTCAATTCGAGCATGAATTTAAATTGCCTACAATCTATGTAAATGATGTACAAGGTCATTATCTTGATACATTTCCTAATTCCAGATGATGCTATTCTCTCTATAACCTCACTGACATTTTTATGACATCAATTGTCAATACATGGTCACCTACTCATCATATGTCTTACCTTTTGCCCCTCTAGTCATCCTGCTGGCTGGAAAATGCAATCTGGCCATGAGTGGACGAGGTGCCCTTCTTTTTTGATCAAATCCCCTCACACAAACAAATCCTGCATTGACATTAAATTTTAGCATGAACATATAATTTTGATATAGTGGTTGAGTGGTGTGCTTAGAATTTTACACAATTAAATCATATTTATCCATTTTTTTCCCCTAGAATTCAAATTACTTTCATTATTATTTTACCAAACACTATCAAAATTTGCAATAAGCTATTTTCTATCACTTTTTACTATTTTGTTACTTATTACTATTTTCCAAAAAAGGTTATATGAAATATGAAGATATAGCTGAATCAGGAAAGCTTTGAGCTATCTGTTGATCAGGCATCAACAGGGTTTGAAAACTTTAAAATTCTAGTTTGATGCAAAATGAGGTTCACAGAGCTAAAATTCTGTTTGAAAACCAATAAGATAACTGGATTTTAGCAGTTTCTACTTTAAGAGATTATTCATGATGGAAATCAGCAAGGATAATAATAATAATAATAATAATAATAATAATAATAATAATAATAATAATAATAATAATGCATGGAAGCAAATTAAGTAATGCATTACTGATATCTATTAAATCTAACACAAGGTCAGGCTCAGACTAAATCAGAAAAATGAGTTTAAGCCTGTTGTCGTCACTAAGATCCTTAGTGAGGGTCTCGGAACTGGAATAGAGAGAAAGAAGCAAACAGTCTTAACAGTGACAGTGTCAAATATGTTGTCGTCACTAAGATCCTTGGTGGGGGTCTGGGAACTGGAATAGAGAGAAAGAAGCAAACAGTCTTAACAGTGACAGTGTCAAATAGGGTATTTAACTGCGTCATAAACTGAACCCTGCATCTAGTCTTCCTGGCTCCTGATACGTAGATGCATTACAGAGGCCTTGCTCTGTATCACAACTCATTGCCTCAAGGATTATCTGATCCCCACTACATTTAGAGGCAGACTTAGGTCCTTTAATCTCACCCCTTGCTTCCCATTGACCGCCTCATTCTATGCTGGGATGGCAGTTTATTTGGTGTCTAAAAAAACAACAGGTTTTCACAACCTTACATTCCCTCTCCACCATACTAATGATGTTGACATGGAACAAAGAAGGTAGTATTGAAGTTTGAACGTGAATAGCATTTTCTTTCTAATAAAGGTAGTTGCAAATTGTTGAGGATGATGGCTGGAGGATGCTCTTGTCAACAACAAATAAGAGATGAGCTTAGAGCTAACATTATTCCCATGCCTCTTTTTCACTGCCTAACACAAATTAATGATTGTGCAAGCAAAGGACTGTTTTTAGAAAGGAAGTTGTAAGGTGTTAGTGCATTTGTAGGAAGATAGGAGCTGAGAAACTAGCTGACCAGGTGGGAGAAGAAACAATCTCAGTGCTCTTTTAGTAAATTAAGGGGCAGGATAGACAAAGGAACGTTGTCTCTTGTGTACTCAGTGTTGGCTGTTCATCTTTAAGAGATTTATACTTGAGAAAATGGGTTTATTGTATTGAAGATTGTGAATTGCTCTTACTCGTATAGAGGCAGCCAAGCAGGGGAATACGCATCTGTTGGAAGGTGTGGTAGGAGGTCAAGGCTGCTAACGTTGTTATTTTTTCTAAACTTCTGAATTAAAGAGTCAAAATAAATTCCGCTATAATTTGAACTATAGTTGTTTGGTTTCCTTTTTAATCTTTATTGTGAGAGCTGAGAGGTGATTATATTTATGTCAAAAATATAATTCTCTTCATTTATACTTCTAGCTGTGTGGTGAAATGGAAAGATCTACTGGAGAGGGAAATATATGTGATTATATTGCTTAAGGATTCATAGCCATAGTTGCATACCTCTCCAGAAGCAATGTTGAATGTCTTCAGTGGTCAGACCTGGGTAAAAAGTTTAGAAATTAGAAAGAAGAATACCCACACATGTGAAATCAAAACAGATTTTCTTTCTATACCTCTAAATATGGTTGGAATTGATGTTCCAAAATAAACAGTACGTCTTGGAAGGTTCCATAACCAAGTCCTGGGGACTGCAATTGGATTAAGACTGGAGTCATGGTCAGCAAATACCTGCATACAATTTGAATAAGCTAAGTATGGGAGAATGAGCAGCAAAAGATTAAATGTTCTGATGAACCCAATTTACTGAACATACCTCATTCACTTGGAAATATGTTCCATTCAGTGGGAAGCTGCCTCTCATCGCAGTTCTGCATGGTATCTGAATATAATGGATTGTGGCAAGATTTATTACTCTACATGACATGTGTGTCAAATGAAGGTAAACAAAATATCTTATCTCTTACCAGAAGTGTACCCCGTACAGTCTGGGAGTTTGCTTCCCGCTGACTGTTGCAATAAGAACATGTCTCCTCATTGCACAATATGCTGGGATCTTCAGAGTGACATTTTCTTTCAGGAGGTTCAATAGAGCTTGCAGTCTCACCTATTTTCGGCATCAATTAGTATCTCAGAAGTAAGTTATTGAGATGAAAACTGGAACAGGACTAGCTCCCTTGACCATCCTCAGTAGAATCATTGTGATAATTTATGTACACTAATTGTACTTACCTGGAGTCCATATTGCAAGTAGGTATGAACAAGGATCGTCGGGCTCTCTTTTGTCCAACTGCAATTGTGCAGCTATCATGAGAAAGTAACCAAGGTAAAAAGTGTACATAGATAATGCAATTTATAAATAGCTTACCCCTTTCAAGAGAGGATGTGCGTCGGGAAGTTCATAGCTGCAAATGTCATTCAGAAGACAGTTAGTGGAACTAAATCTATTACATAGAAAACAGTCATATGTTTCTTGAGAAGGGACTTGACTTTAAATGGAATTTTCTTGAGTAAATTACATACTGTCAGCTGAAAGCATGACTATACATGAGAGCTTAGCTAGAAGTTTGCATGAAGAATAGCTGTGTGTGGTTTCTGTTTATTTCATAAACATATACACCAGCTAAAACAGGTGAAAACTAGAATTTTCATACTTTATCCAACTTGCCTTAATTATTGACCTAGACTAGGAAATTTTGCTTTTATGTTACAGTAAAATCCAAATATTCAAGATTTAAAAGGAGCAAGCACAACAGCAATAGTCTGCAGGGTAGAGTTGTTAACTTACACATGATGCTCTGTTCTCAGTCGGCTTATATTCTTGAGCTTTGGTGTTGGAATTGAAGCAGCTTCAGGTGTTAATGCCACCAAGGCATTTGAATTTCCATCCATGTAATTTTGTAGAGTTCGAGAGAATTCTTTCATATTGAGCTTAATTGTAGGTATTCCATCAGGATCCTCGTAGTCTTCAATATCACATAATGTTTGTTCCTGCTCTGGTTCTGGTTCTGGTGATGCTGGAACTTCAACTATCGGTTCACAGTTCCTAATTTCAGATTGCCTCTCTAGTTGATTGATTGTCTGTGGCGAGGGTAGTGCCAGTGGGGAAGATGAAACTGCACTTGGATGCACACCAGTATCGCAGTTGCTTTGTGAATAAGAAGGGGGCAAAGGCAAAAAATTGGCGCTAGCTTGAGGATTCGGATGTGCTGAACTGCCCCCACTTGAAGGCATAATGCTTCTTTCTTCTGGCCCTGGAAGGGCAAATCTAGCACTGCAGCCAACAACAAATATTTACCCAATTATAAAAGTTCGGTTACAATAAGGTACTTAGTAGCATTATGTATAATTTGGAAACATGTTTGGCTATACTAATTTGCAGTGCAAGCAAATAGATTCTCCTAATCTATCCAGATCTATTCAACTGTTTCACGATCCGGTACCTTGGAAATTTGAGTTTATACCCTAGGCATAAAAATCACTTTTTTATTTTATTTAATATAATATAAATTTAAGGTGCCGCATAAGATTTGAGTCAGTAGTTGTATACTTTTCACCCTCTATTGTGTGTTTGTGTGTGTGTTTTGACCTAGGATAATGCTTGCATAATTCATGGAGATCACTTTTATTTAAGCTTAAGTAAGTTAAGGTAAAATATAGGATTTGAATCTTTAATCGTCCATCTTTCACCCTAGTATAATGCTTGTGTAATTATTTTTTTAAGACCATTTAAAATGTCTCAAACTTCATTCTCATTTCTTTTATGGTGTTGGTAGGGTTTGCAGATAAAATTGTCCAGTGGCAATCTGCTCTGTTCCAAGTTCATAAAGACTAAAGAGGTTTTCCAAGGAAGCTGACAGCTGTTACAACCATCTGCTTGATGCCTTTTGTTCAATACCTTGTAAGGTAAATTGATTAGATCAGATGGGATACTAACCTTGCAAATGCACTGGCAAAGTGTCTGCACTCTCCTCTCAAGGGACAGGCATTGCAATTAGGCTGCCTTTTGGTGCAAAATACCTGCATGTATTATAATATAATCCGGTTATGATCTATTATCAAAAACAAAGGCTAAGATGCTTTTCGATGTCAATGTACCTTTCCAAAAGTGATCAAGTGATAGTGCAATTCATACCTGAATCACATATAATGACATTTACCAATGGTTAAATTTTATCCATTCATGAACACAATAATCAAATTAAAGAGAAAAATAACATCAATATAATATTGTTCTTACAAAGTCTTTTGGTCAAGCTTGCAAAGCCGTGGCCATAAGTACTTTTGAATGGACTCTAAGATAGGGTACCTGAGGCAGCAAATGGTGTTAACATCTGTTGAATACTGTCATTAACACTGCAGTAAACATGGACTTTGTAGTACTTACATTTCTAAAAGATGCAGTTGAAGCGACTCCGGTAGGGGTTGAAGCGGAACCCATCCTAGCCGTACAGCTATCCGTCCAACGTTGGTGTCAACCTGAATAAATATAGCCCCCAGTCAGTATGAAATAATTCTCTCTAAAAAAAATTATTTTTGAATGAAATTGATGTACTTACGGGGAAAGCAAGATGGTGCAGTGTCAAAAGTCGCACACATTCCACACTCTTCAATCCCAACCCTCTAAAGCTCAATAGGTATTCTCTGGATCATTATCAAGAAATTGGGCATTATGTGGTTAGTAGTAGTTTATGTCATGCCTGTTAAGTAGAATGCAAATTTACAATAGTGTATGGAATTCATGTATTGAATTGCATTAATTGTTGCATAAATAGGCATGAAGCATAAAATTAGCTGTTATTATGGAGGAATTTCATTATTTGATTCATTCTCTTACTTCGCTTTGTCTGGGGGAATATCTCTCAGCCATTCCATGTCGGTACTGCCATGATCCTTGACCAGCCTGTCCAGTAGAGCCTGTATAATTATTTGGGATTAGCAATGATGCAAACAACTTATGGGATTGAACTCAGACAAAACTTGTACCAGTCAAATATTTGATTAATAAGATATCACCTTTATCCGTTCTGCAAGCATGTTGTTCATGCCTCTCTCCTTAATGGTTTCAGCAATTTCATTCACGTCAGCATGTCTTACTGCTTCCCAGTCTAGTGAGTCTCTTGTGTTTGCTGGTCTTTCTTTTTTTATACCATTAGGCTGTGCTTGTTTTCGCAAACTGTCCCAGTCAAATGCATCAGCCTTTACCTTTCCTGCCTTTCCTTTCCCAGGTTTGCTAGCATTTGCATTTGTTATCTCTGAAATTCCACCTGACGCATATGTCTGTACTGATATTTTCTCAACTAATTTTTTATCATTGTTTGCCCTTTTCAATTCTGCAGTACTTTCAGTAACGTCGGCAGTTACTTGATTCTTCAAGTTTGCACCTTTCCAATTTGAACTTGTTTGAACATTTGCAGATGAAGCATTATCTGATGGTTCCTTCGCCAACTGATTTTGTGACTGCATAACCATATTATTACCCTCAAGAACATAAAATGAGCGTATATTTTCTGGAAAAGATCTTGGAATGCTATCTGAAATTTTCTCCAGTGCAAGTTGTTGCACTGTTGATTCTGTAGTCAGATTGCTTTGTTCTGTTGGTGTGCTGTTCTCATCTTTTCTTGATGTATCGGGGGATCTGCTCTCTACATCTGGTAATTGAAAATTCAGATTCAACTGGTCGTTTGAGCAGATTCCTTGTGCTTCTGGAGAACCTTTTGTTACATGATTGATGCACTCTAGTGGATCTTGTTGGGTTTGACTGTATGATTCATTAAGGAAGGGACTCTCTGCCATCTTTAGCAGACTCAGAAATGGGGTGGAACAATCAAAATAATTGGATTGGGAGCTAGTTATTAGAGGCTGTGTATTTATATAATTCTCTGAAAAGATGCTCATGGTTCCAGCAGTCTGCAGATTTGGAGAGTTGATGGAGTTCTGGGATGACACTACTGAGTGTTGTGATGAAGTTGCATCATCTTTTGCTCTATCATCTCCTAGGGCACTTGCTGTCTCTGTCTCTGTAGTCTGGCTATTTGCATTATCGACTGTTGAGTTATTGGGGGTTTTTTGACTGCTCTCACTGGAGTAGTCCTTAGGGCTAACTGAACCAGGAGCTCTTCCAGTTAGTTCTTTGCTATTGACAACTTCCTTCTCTTCACTATGGTCAATTTCATGGATAATCCTAGAAATCCCACTCAAAATTTGCTGATCTACTGTCTTCTCGTTCCAAGTAATGCTTTCCTCTGGTTCAATTATACAAACATCTGGTTCAACAACCAAAGCAGTTGTTGACTCCTCTGAAAGGGTACTTTCACTTCCTTCTGACTTGAGGGGAAAATGAGCAGCCATTGCCATGAAAGCAGAACTGCAATCAAACAAGATTTAAGATACTTCTCATTCAGGGCATGATTAAACTAGGGTAAAGAATTCAAGGGATAACAATTTTATTAAATAGGAAAGATGAGTGGAAGTGGTGTTTGATGAGGGAGGAGGAAGGGATAGGGGGAAGATGAGTAATACCTCCCCCTCCTCAGTGTAATATTAATTCCCGAAAAAGGGTATTAACTTCTGGATCCCTCTTTAATCAACCACAATTTCCACCCATTTACCTCTCTGTTATTTCTCTATTTAACCTTTTTATTCTTTAACCCAACCCAAGCATGTTCTTAGTGGAATATAATGATCTCTCTATTTCAGCATGGTCTTACCTAGAGAGATGGTCTGATACATTCTGAGTAAGAAAGACTCCAATAACAGAGTCCAGAACAGATCCTTTCCAAGGAGTGAAGCGTCTATCTCCTGTATAAAGCAAACATATTTGTTAGTGACCAACTTCATTACTCTGGCTGAAGGTAAATTCTAGTATACTATAATTGCAGCTTTTATGAAAGTTTCTAAGCCTTGAAACCTGTGTTATGCAATCAATCGTTATTGATGTCTGTTAAATAGCATGTCTAAATTGAAAATTGATTACCGGATATGCTTAATCTCTACTTACACTAAACGAAATGTATTCATAGGCTCATAGCTGACGTAGTTGCAATACATAATTATTAGCATATGAATTTGTTTACATCTTTTTGCTAAATAATAATACCTTATATTAACTTTTGAGTCAGTGGTCTTATGATTGCTAGAGTTGAGCATTTTAACTCTACAATTATATATGTTCTCTTTATTCTGCAAAGTTGCATTTAGAGCTGGCAAAAGTTGACATGACATGACATGATAACACGACACGAACACGATAAAAACGGGTTAGTGTCAAGGGTTTTCAACACGTTTAATTAAATGGGCCAACATGACACGACACGTTTAATCAAACAGGTTGGGTTAGCATTGAGATTCTCAAAACGAAATTAACACGACTCAACCCGCCTAACATAAAAACCCAATAATTTATGGAATTATTGATAATCTATAGAACAAGACCAATATTTTTCAATTCAACACGATACGAACCGAACACGAAAAAAGTGGGTTAGTGTTAAGGGTTTTCGACACGATTAATTAATTGGGTCAACACGACACGACACGTTTATTAAATGGGTCGGGTTAGTGTTAACCTTCCCCAACCCGTTTAATTTTTGACACGAAAATGAACACGACACGACACGATTGCCAAGTAAAAAAGTTAGCATCAAGGTTTAAATTGTATTAGACTTTGGACTCGGAGATGTTTACAGTTCTAAATTTCAATTTAAAGGCTTATAATATTAGTTTGGGATTTACAATCTTGCAATGCCAGCCCTTTAGGAATGTACTCTGAGCTTCTCTCTTTGTGATTCTTATTTTCTTCTCTTTAGAAAGAACCATATTAGTATCTATAATAATGAAAAATAAAGAATAGATAGATTAAAAGGAGTCATACCTTGAACAAGACGCATGCGTGCTATGAATGAGTCCACACGCCCATGGAAGACACTTCGTTCATTTTCCCACCATTTTGCTTTATCCTCATCAGTTCCATCAACACCTTTATTGTCAATGTTCTCGAGAAGAAGTCTCCACACTTTAGTGGTCTCATCATCAAGGTCAACCTTAGCTCGTTGACGCCTCTTCCTAACAGGATCAAAGGGACCATCAAATGGCACCATAGTCCCATCTCTCCCATAAACAACTAGCGCATTTCTCGCATTTTTGGCCTGCTTCTTTGCCCGGTATGGGACCAGTGCATTCCGTTCTAGAAGTGGAGTGCTATAGCCTTCTCTGTTGATATCCAGCAGCTTCATTCCTTCAGTTATTTCTTCAATGGAGCTGGAGCTGGTTCTTGCCCATGGTAGTGCTGGAATAGAACCTGCAGCAAGTGGAACAATGAGTTATATTCCATTTTGGAGGATGCAGAATGCCTGATTATCTAATATTTACCTGTTGCTTTTCTGGCAGACTGATTAGCATTATACAAGACGAGGTCCCATTGCTTGTTTGATTTCCTAGATACCCTCTTTGATCTTGGGTTTGATGTGCTGTCAGCTTCTAGGGCCTCTGTGTAACCATGTGCTGAAGTATCAATTTTCTTTTTGCGAGGACCTTTGGGTCCTGGTTTGGGAGGCAAGACCGATGAAAGTCCCATCAGTGGGGCCAAATCACGAACACGAGTATTACCTTTTGATCTCTTTTTCTTCAACCTTCCCATGTCAGCCCAAGTATTCAATAGCTGCATCCTGTTCTCAACACTTCCCATAAGTAACCCGGCATGATTATGAGACATTGCATTAACTCTATAAGAAGCAGGGTTGCAGTAGTACTTTAATGCAGTGGGATCAACTCTTGGATGATTATGAGTGCCGGCTTCCTGGTTGATATCTCCAGATGGAGCAGCAGTACATGGCATGCTTGATGTGTGTGACCTTTGTACCTTCTCAGTTCTCTTTTTCTTGCAAATTTCGGGAAAGAGAAACGTGTGAAGTTCTCCAATTATAGCATTTC